CTGGGGAATCCTGGGAGTTGAAGTCCACACATCTGAAAGTCGCCAAGGTTGGAAAACACTGCTCTGTCCTGTTGCTGCCTGGACTTAGAGCGCCGTGTTGGGAACTCGCCCTCCTGAGTAGCACAATATAAACAGCACAATTGCCTCCTTTTTCTCTCTGTGTAGAGACTTCAGCCAAGGAAGGCCTGTTGCTCTGGTGCCAAAGGAAGACCGCTCCTTACAAGAACGTCAACGTGCAGAATTTCCACATCAGGTAACTCCTCGGCACCATGGTTTTTTTGTGTTTTTTGCTTGGAAAATACTTGGAACCCAGAACCAACCGTCTCACGTCCGGGGAATCGGACCTTTTTGGAAGGCTGCAAAAAATGACTTGGCTTAGCGCTCGCCCATTAAAGATCCCGCCAGCCTGGAAGCCAAGCTTTTAAGGCTTTCTGCTCGGACCCGAGGCTCAGGGTTTGTAGAGGCCAGGGAACTTAGTGAACTGGCAAACTTCCTTCCTTTACAGAAAGGCTTTTGTGTTGACAGCTGGCTGCAGCAAGGTTGCTGTTTGGGGTGGATTGATGGATGCCGATCCAATGAAGCATCCGGTGGGGAAAAGCGCCCGGAGGCCCTGGTCCTTCCACCGCACGGCAAAGTGGATGGGCAATAGAGCAGTGCAGCCTTTCACCCACCCCCTACTTAATTGACCCGGGTCGAGGATGGGGCACTTGCCGTTCTTGGCCCGATTTCAAAACTCCTGCAAGAGAACAATTCAGACCTTTGGTAAGAGCTCTCTGCCCTTCCCTGGAGCTTGGGAAAAAGGGAAGAATCTCATAAAAAAGTGAAAGGTCAAAGAGAATATGGCAGCGACCGCTCACTCCTGGGCCTGGCTCTGTCCACTTATGTTTGCTCAGGCTAATTCCCTCCATAGCTTACTCCTGAGTAGATGCTGCCCTCAGCAGCAGCACCCCCCCCAAAATGGCTGCCCAACCCCAACTTCTGGAATAGTCACAGATTTTAAAAAGTGGGTAGGAGAAGTGAAGTGGGTAGATGGCACTGGTGGATAGATGAGGACCCCATCCCAGGACCCCCAAGCAGATGGCTACAAAATGCCATCCATAAAGAGCTGCTACTGAAGTCTAGCACCATAGACCTCTTATATTCTAATCTTAGTCATTCTCTTGATCGTTCCCAAAGCTGTCACTGCTTATTTCCTTCTCACTGTGGACCTTGTAGGAGGAAAGCCATGTTAGTGGGAAGGTCAAAAGGAGACCTGCCTCTGAATAAAAAATGTGAGTCTGAAAAGGTGCTACTAGACTCCTTCAGATGTTGATCTCCTTCTGTAACTCACTGGGTTGTCCAAACGGGACACTCAGTTTTGTGATAACACTCTTCTAAAGATACCGTTTGCCATCTCAAGAGACAGGCCCACTGACCCCCTCTTTGGTTTTTCCTTTTCAGTTGGAAAGATGGCCTTGCTTTTAATGCCTTGATCCACAGACACCGGCCAGAACTCATTGAATATGACAAGCTCAGAAAGGTATTTGGGGAACTGCCATTCTGCCCTTCTCCTCTTGGTTTTGAAATATTCTCCACCTTACCCTGCATGAACTTGCTTTCCTGCAGCAACTGAAAACATCAGGTTTGGTGGGTTGAGTGAGGCCTGGGATCAAATTCCATTTTGGCCAAAAGCCCCTGAGTTACTCTAGGGTAAGTCATAATCTCCAACCTGAGCTGCTCATCCAAGAGAAAGGGAGTTGACCTTGATTGGTCCCAAGATCAAGATTTAGTGCACAATTGTGGATTAAAATATCCAGATTAAATCATTGGGGCCAGATCTGAAATCATCTGAAACTTCATCACATTTGTTCTAATGTCGAATGGGTCCCTGTAGTCACCAAAATGACAGAGAATCCTTAATTTGTGGATGGTGAATCCTGAAGGGCTTCAAAGATGCTTCAGTGCCCTTTCCATGGGAATGTTTGCACAAGTAGTGTTTGACTTATGACCATCTGTTTAGCAACTGTTTGAAGTTATGACAGTGCTGAAAAAAGTGACTTATGACCAGTCCTCACACTCAAAACCGTTGTAGTGTTCCCTGCAGTCACATCATCAAAATTTGGGTGCTTGGCAACCGGCATGTATTTATGATGGTTGCGGCATCCCAGGGGTCACTATTTGCGACCTCCCCCGCTGGTTTCTGATAAGCAAAATCAACGGGGAACTGTGTGATTCACTTAACGACTGCAGTGATTTGCTTAATGACTGCCACAAAAATGTTGTAAAATCAGGTGCAGTCATGTGACCCCTTGTTTAATGACCACACAGCTTAACGATTAATTTTCCAGTCCCTGTTGTGGTCGTGAGTGAAGGACTACCTGTATTTGGAAACTTCAGGAAAGCTAAGACATTGGAATAGAAATTCAGGCACGGTTGCTGCTTGCGAGAAGGGGGAGATGCATATTCGTTCTTTCCGGATGAGCTCTCAGGGTAATGCCACCAATTTTAACAACTGGGCCTCTCTGGCCACTTTCCTTTTCCCAGGACGATCCAGTCACGAACCTGAACAACGCCTTTGAGGTTGCAGAGAAGTACCTCGACATTCCCAAGATGTTAGACGCAGAAGGTAAACCAGAGATTTCTGCCTTAATATCTTGGGGTTCCATTTAGTTCCGCAAGCCAGATTTCCTAACAGCCGCTTGAGTGAAGCCGGCTAGGTAAGCTTGGCACTAACGTATCGTCTCTGCCTTTCGGCAATCAGAAGGTTGGGTTGAAGAGGGCAGGGTAGAAAGGTCAGGGAAATGACCTTGAGGGAAACAGGCAAGAGAAACGAAGGAGGATGAAACATTCTTTAGTCCTGGGAAACAAGATGGTATCAGGAAGAGGCTCGGGCTGGCTCCTCCCTGATTCACGGGGGGGAAAAGCACAGCCAGGCTTGCAAGAGTCTGTTATTATAGCCTATCTCGGTAAACCCTAATTCCAGTCTTCCTGTGGAGTCTGTTTCCTGACCTGGTGTGCCCCAAAGTGCTGACATCAATCTTGCAAGCCCAATTGCCACTGGATGTGCAGATTAATTTTTTTAAAAACTACAAAATAGACAGAAGGGCTTAAATGGAATTCAGAAACAATTCCTAATGCTTGCAAACATATAGACTGCAATTATCCGTCCAGGTACAACGGGAAGGAAGAGTGTGACTTGTAATCAAGTAATTTCCTAATCATGTTTTTAATTCATTTTTAATTTGTTTTCTTGTTTTCTTCTTTTTTTATTTCAATAGCCATTTCCCCCCTCTTTCTACGTGACTGTATTTAATTTCATAATAATAATAACAATAATAATAATAGAAACATAAATACAAAAAAATTATAGAGCAACCCTGAAATTCCTGCTGCAATTTGAGAGTAACTCTTGCCCAGAGGAAAAGAAGAATGGGAGGAATGTGCTGCAGAGTTACAAAAGCTTTGCAGTCTTTCTTTTAACAGGCTTGAGTTACGGCAGGAAATGTGGTACAGATCTAGGATAAGCATCCTAGCTTGTACATTGGACAGCCAGCTAACCTCCCGTGTCCGTTCTTCTGGGTTTTCTGGCATTAACTTTTTCCAAGATGGATTTTTGCCTGCAGGAGAACTTCCAAGTCCCTTGGTGATGTTAGAGCCCAAAGGGAATTAGTTTGGAGATGAGTTGTTTCTGATGTGTTTAATGCTTCTCGTTCGCTTTTCAGACATTGTCAACACGGCCCGTCCTGATGAGAAGGCTATTATGACCTATGTCTCCAGCTTCTACCATGCCTTCTCTGGGGCACAGAAGGTACCAGAGACGGACAGCCCTTTTCCATTAACCGCTTCTGTTCTTTCCAGCATCCTGCGTTCTTTTGACTTCTCTTGCAGAGGGCTGCAGCTTCGAGCCAACTGGAAACCCAGACCTCAGCTAGTTCAGGACAATCTTTAAAAAGACTCTGACCCAACACAGAAGGCCATGGGCTGGTTTTCCAAAACTCACAATAAGTACCTTTGGGAGAGGCTGCAAGAGGAGACCTGGCGATGGAATAAATGGAGGCTACTTTATGAGAAGGAGAGGCAGCCTTAAGTCCTTGGTTTCCCTTACTACAGTAGGACCAGGACTCTCAAACGAAACAGGAACTCCTGAACTCATTGCAATCCATTGTTCCCCTGAAGAAATCAGTAAGAACGCTAGCTGATGAAGCCCATGGTCCTAAATTCTCACTAAGGAGGCAGCCTAGCTGGAACACGATCCAGTCACGCCTGGGTGCGTGCATGCAGAACCCTGCAGTTTAAGGGCTGCTTCGTGGGTCGAGGATGAAATTGAGTTCCTTTTGGATTCTCTGGCCTAAAGAAAGGATTTGGGACAGCCAAGTTCTGTCCCAGCTGAGGTCTGGGTCCCCCCCGGAGCAAAGTCTTTCTTTCGTCCTGCCTCTGGTCTGCTGCATGCCTGAACAGACCTGGAGGATCTTCCGCTGTGCCCTTGACTCCACCTCTCTTTTTCTCTTTCCTCTTGCGCAGATATTGTAGGCACACTCAGGCCCGACGAGAAGGCCATCATGACCTATGTCTCCTGCTTCTATCATGCTTTCTCAGGGGCTCAGAAGGTGAGCTTGGGCTGGGCAGGGCTGCTTCATGCTGCTGTTGCTGTTGCTTCGGAAGATCTCTGGCTAAGGAGAGTGTTGGCACTAACTGGCCACCTGCTCAGCCTTCTGGAGCATGGCATTGTTATATCGGCATGAAAGGGCTCGGAAGCACAGGAGGGTCTAGCTTCGAACATTGGGGGTGACCCCTGGATACAGTCCCCCGAGAAATATTACAGCAGTGGGCCAGGAAGAAGATTCTGATCCATCTAAGCCAATTCGCCGATTATTCCTGCCTGTCTCCTCCATCATTTTTGAAGGAGGCGGAAATTAAACATGAGAAGATGTTGGCTCTTGAGAGCAACTCTTCAACCTGCCTCGAAGGAGAGGTGAAAGTACCAGCAGGACTGCCTGTTTTCCCAAAGCTTCATCTGATCTGGTACTTCTCTCTGGTTTTGATTATTCTTGCTTGTTATTACAGAGAGATGCACAGGCCCCCTGCAAGATACTCTCTCCCTTCCCCAAAACTCTTTGGACAAAACATCCCTATTCAGTCTCCTTCAGGTTTCACCGTAGGAAACAACGACGTGATGTTGACATCTTGGCTAGCGTTGACCTGAACAACGTAGTTTCCAGAGCAGGCTGTTGTGGCCCCAGGCAGCTAAGCAGCCGATGCGTTGCTTCTGGCAGGGAAAAGGATGCCACCAACGTAGGCGTCAGTTGCATCTTTCCCAACACCTCATGCAGAACCCAGCCCGGGAACCTACCGCTTTTCCTGCATTTCCAGATACCCCAGGAGATTAGGAATAGAAACCTGGAAAATGCACCACGTCAAGTTCCTGTTAGCCTTGAGGATTCTTGTGGGAGGGTCTGACACCATGTATTCTGGGACTGAAATGTGAAGAGCAGCCGCCAGGCTGAGTCCTGAAGAGGAATTCTTTGGAGGGGGTTCATTGGTGACGGATAGCTGCAGTCCCGGGCTATGTTTGCATGCTGTGAGAAGCGGATTGGTGTGGGTTCTGCAAATCTTCCTTAGCGTATTCTGGAGCAGGATTAAGAGTTTGGTTACCACATGGTTTCCTGAACATCTGGGTCGGGGGGCTTCTCTCCTGAATTTTTTCTTCTTCTTTTTAAACATGTTTCATCCTTGTTGCTGCAAAGAGCAGCTTGATTTTTCTCGTGGCCATGCCTGGTGAAACCTCTCTGCCCCGAGTAGATTTCAAGGTCCCGCTAGGCTTCCTTGCTTGCAGCCCCTTGTTCCTTGTGACTTTCAGAAGCAGAGCCAAGCCTGGAAAAAAAAATGCACCCGTAAGCATGGATTTGTGCTGGGTTTAGAGATTTGTTTTTCTGGCACAGAGTTCTGTTTCTTTTCGTCCCCCGGCTTAATTGCTTGCTTGCTTATTTTGTCTTTTGCATGCTGAGCATACAGGCCTGTTCACAAGCTCTTTCCTTTTCCTCCTTGCCTCTTTTCCCAGGCAGATGCTAAGCGCCCTGCCCTTCTCCCTCCAGCCTGAGGGAAGTTAGGAATCTGTCTCCTGGGCCAGGCCCTGCAGAGTGCCCCCTCTTTCCATGTGTCCGAGACCAAGAATCCCTGGCTTTGTACACTGCAACTAACCATGCGTTCCCTTTGCTCTGCCCGCATCGCTTTCCCTCTGCAGCTTACGGCTCCGTTCCTTGCTTTTGGAGTTGTCGTTGTACTGCTGGGGACGCACGTTCCTCCGTGTCAGGTTGGCTCTGAGTGGGTTTGTAAGGCTTGTAAGAGGTCTGCAGCGTTTCGTTGGCTCTCGATAGTTTTAACAAAACCCAATAAAGTTCAGAGGTTAAAAAAAAAAAAAGAAACTGCCAGGACTGGTTGCTTAGACGGGTAAAGTATGTTCAAAAATGTTGTGTGACTCACCTAGTCATTGTAGTTCGTGGAATTAGAATGGGTAATCAAGAGCCCTGTTTCTCAATCTCAGCAACTTCTAAGGTGTGCAGACTTCAATTCCCAGAATTCCCCAGCCAGTAGATGTGAACTTCAACTCCCAGATTTCTGGGAGTTGAAGTCCATGTGCCTTAAGGTTGCCAAGGTTGAGAAACACTGTTCTAGAGTAACTGAAACAGCCCAGGCTTGAGACTGTATTTGCATATCACTTTTTGTTGGGAATCTTAAGGATTTTGGCGTTATCAGGAATGAGCAGCGTGCTGATCCAGGTGGCTTTGTCCTTCCTCCTGCCGCCTCCTGCAAGTGAGATTAGATAAGTAAACTGAAATCGGTGACGGCTTGATTGTAAAATTGAACCCGGACCTCTGTTTGATTGCGCCATTGAATCAGAGCTAGAAGCTGCTGTTCCTTCCTGAGTTCCAACTGTGGATTATTAGGTCCTGAACAAGCCCAACGTCCAACACTGGCAGATGAAGTACCAGCAAGAAAAGAGGAGTTGAGTTTGAAATATCCGAAGCAGGCAAGACTGACTTGTCACCAAAACGAGCAGAATGGGGTCTGTGAACCCCTCGTTTTGGGGGTGCAACCTGCTGATTACCTAGATCAGAAATATTGGAGAAGGCCTGGATCCTTGGGTCCTTTCTGAGGTCGGACCCTAGGGTGGCAAAAGGCTGGTTGACCCCTCCGTTCTGTCTCTGAAAGGAACAGGTGTGGTTCAGCAGCACCTGCATTGTAGGTTTCCCTGTCTGCCTCAAGTGGGCATAGCAAGCCTTGGCAAATTCCTTGATCACTTAGCATGGAAGGCATGAGCAAAATCCACCTGTTTTCTTTCTCAGAGGCTCCAGTGGTTGCTTGCAAAGAGGCTGACACTCCACAGCAGTGTTTCTCAACCTTGGGAACTTTAAGTGGGGTGGACTTCAACTCCCAGAATTCCCCAGCCAGCCATGGGAGCTGCCAGCCATGGGAATTCTGGGAGTTGAAGTCCACCCCGCTTAAAGTTGCCAAGGTTGAGAAACACTGTCCCATAGGAAGTAGGATCCCCGTTTTCCTAGGTGTTAAGTGTACCACCAAGGTATAGCAGAGTATTTTCAGGAAAAGACCAACGTTAACGTGGATGTTCCTGGTCTCTGCACGCTTCCTAGATGCAGAAAGGTGCCGTCTTTCTGCCTATCCCTGCTGGAAGAAACAGTCTCCTTGAGCTATGCCCAAACTTGATTGCCCCCATGAGTGTTTGCACACATGCTCCTTTTTACGTATGGGGTGGGCTGGGTGTGATTCTTTTAGCCTTGTCAGTCCTTCTCTTTTTTAATCGCCCCCTGTATCTGAGCACCAGCTGTCTGCTCCATCAGCTGAGATTGATTCACCGCACCTCTGGTAGCCTTTGCCATGTGCCTGCATTTTGTCTAGCAGGGCGCATGTCAGCAAAGAGGACGGTTGAGTCATGTTGTGTCCAGGTGGGCTGCTACAACTGCCTCCTACCTCCTTTTCAATTTTTAAAACCCTTCGGCGCTCTGTGAATCAGACACCAGGATCCACCCCCCACGTTCCCCGGTTGCAGGACTATGTCCTACAGCCCATTTTCCCATCCTGGAGCCATTCAGACGTGCTGGATCTCAACCACCAGGCTGGCTCTGAGATGGTAGGACCGCATGCTTAGGGGCACACAGTTAAGGTAGGTTTGCCACAGAGATGGACAGAAGTTGAATCAGGATCTTTGGAGAAGTTGAATCAGGATCTTTGGAGTAGATTGGAGTAGATTATAGATCAGCCTTCTCCCATCTGATATCCTCAAGTGGGCCTGCAGCTCCCAGATCTGGAACCCTCCCATATGTCGAGAGTAAGGAAGATGACCTTGATGGAGATCTGCAAGAACCGTTACCTAGGCAAAAGGAGATGAAGCATTTTTAAGCCCAGAACAGCGAGAGAGCATTCAGGAGCAGTTTAGGTAGACGCCTCCCTGATTCACTGAGCTATAAGGAGGAGGAGGAGGTACACCACAATCAGACTTGCAAGATTCTGTTGTTATAGCCCGTCTCAATTAAAGTAGCTCTAGCCTTCCTGTGGAGTTGATTTCCTGCCTGGTCCACCTAGTGGGGCGGACACTGTATGGCTGTTGGAAACGCCAGGTGGGAAAAAGCTGCAGTTGATCAACCAAGAGTTCTGGGTTCCAGCTGTGTAATAACAGCAGCAATAGGCCTAGCTGTCTGGCAGAAAGGGTTAGCTGTGAGAATCTTCTACCTGTACAATTGTTCAGGGAAAGATAGGATGCATGTCTTCCCAGCACCATTGCCTCTACCTTCTAAACCACCATTAAGTTTTCCCTGCATTGCAGGAGCACGTGTTGTAATCGATCTCCATTGACTTTGAGGTTGGTCCCCCAGTTAGAAGTAAATCACAGCGAGTTCAAGAGCTAAGTTAGGCTTCTCCTGAAAAGAAGTTCTCTCTTCCCATGCTCGGTTCTTTCCTCTCCGCTTCTTGCTCCAAAACACTCTTCTAAAGCAGCGTTTCTCAACCTTAGCAGCTTTAAGATGGGTGGACTTCAACTCCCTGGGGAGTTGAAGTCCACCCATCTTAAAGCTGCTGAGGTTGAAAGACACTGGTCTAAAGCAAGCATGGGAAACATCCTCTAAGTAGGTAGGTGGATTCCCACCATGGGGGAGGGACAGGTAGTTTTTCTTAGTGGAAATAAAAGATCTCTCTTTTTTTCTTTTGAATATCCTATTTTGTTGGCAACTCATTTCTTCCATGGCTCTCTCCCTTTCCCCCCCTTCTATAGACCCTCCTCTTCACCCTTTCTGTTGATGTCTGGCTTCCATCTCCTCCCCTTGGACTCTCTCTGCTCCTAGCAAGGTACTTGATCTCTTGACTTTTCCCATTTCATGGCTTCTGTGTAATTGGCCCCCTTTTTGCTTTCTGGTAAGCCAGGTGTGGGCATTTCGGAGGGGCTCTTCTCCAGCGCATGACCCTCCTCTTTCAGCAGGCCTGTAACGCGCCCTTCTCCTGCTGCCTTTAAAAAAAAAACCCTGCCTTTTATATCCTATTGTTTTTACAAAGTTTTGCAATTGGTTTCATTTGTCCTTGCTGGTGCTTTTGAATTTATGCCAGCTTTGAATGTGGATATCAGTGTTCAACGGGAAAGGTTATGCTCATTGGGACGCAAGGGGGAAGAATGCCCATCATTTAAGTATTGTTGAAATAGGATTGACTTTGGAAAGCGGAGCTACCAAAACATGCCACTGAGAACTTGTGCAGCCTACAAAGGAGCTAAAAGGCAGAAAAAAGAAACAAAGGAAGAAAGACTTTGCAAGAGATAATAGTAGGATAAATGCAATAGCTGGAGCTGAACTGTTCCAGCAGAACTTTCTAAATCCTAGATGAAAAGCAATAGCGTTCTTTAAATGTTCAAATCTTGGCTTGTGAAGCCAGGATAACTTGAAGGTTTTGCATGTGTCCTTAATCTTCATGCAAGCCGATTGTTTCCCCTTAACATCAGTTAGAAACATACGGTAATCAGTATTGGGATAAGCCAGGATCTGAAACCCTGGTCTGAAGTTGGCTTCAAATGCTAGCTTTGGTGTCTCAGTTCTGAGGTACCAAGAATGGTAAAATCAAGTGCTCAATTGCAGCAGACTGAAGGAGAAAGAGCATGAACATGAACTTCAGGCAGACATTGGTTTAAGCCATGATCCTGTGTATCCAAACTGGGCCAGTGTCGTCTGCCAGATACAAAAGATGAGCCTTCTCATCTGGTTCCATTACCCAGCAGCTCAAACCAGGGTTGGTCTGAGAATCCAATCTGGCGTTACGCTTAGCCCACCATTGTCTCTGCTTGTGTTGGTAGTTTTGGCCTATGCGCCTGGTGGGCTGGAGCTGCTCTCCCATTAAATCAGGCATCTTAGGGTGGGAGGACTGTGGAAGGGGACAGGTCTACACAGCCTCCAGATAATGTCCTCAGGCTGGATTGAAACTTAACTTCTTTGCTTTAGATCTGCTCTCTCTCTGCCTCTGGGGGAGTTCAGTAGTTTCCTGTGATGGTTCGGTTACAGCTTTGTTCTCATGCTGTGTCTTTCCTTAGTACATCTCAGTTTGAGGGGTGTTTGTCTGTTGGGTCACTGATGTTTCCCTGTGTTTTCCCTGTAGGCCGAGACTGCAGCAAACAGGATTTGCAAAGTGTTGGCAGTCAACCAGGAGAATGAGCACCTGATGGAGGATTACGAGAAGCTGGCTTCTGACGTGAGTGTTGATGGGCCTGCCCTGCTTTCAACAGGCAGGGGCTGGACCCAGTGACGCCCTTTTAAAGCCTGTGGCCAGCGAACGGTTTTGTGAATCCGTCTGTCAACAGGCCTCGGTGCATATAATTGGGACCACTGAGAAGTCAGGGGGAGCTACAGGGTGCTTTGATCACTTCTCAACCTGAACTTCATTCTTAAGGTGTGCGCCTTCACTGTGTTCACCCAGGACTATATTGGCATCACCGTCATACGGGTTGAGCTGGTTAGCAAACCCAGATAATTGCAAAGTCTTCACGGCCTTGGAAGCTAGCATTGACATAACTTGCTGGATGTGGGGTTTGCTCCAGAGAGGGACCATAAAACCTCATGCTTGCTCTTGATGCCTTCCCATGATCAAAAGCAAGCGTTGTTTCTGTGCTGTCATGCACGATGGCTGCTTCCTGACGTCCAGTCACTCTTCTGCTCTCTCTCATTCTCTCTCTCTCTCTCTCCATCCCCTAAATTTGCATCTGGGCTTTGTGAACAGCTGCCAAATCAGCCAGCAGCCTGTCTTGGCCAACCTTCCCAACCTGACACCTTCCAAATGCTTTGGGACAAACATTATCAGGAAGACATCAAGATGGGGAAGGCTTTGACTGTTGCTGCTTCTGTGGCTGTCTCATGCCATCCCATCCTCCTCAGGGCTAGGAAGCCACACATTGAGAAAACTGGCTGGAATTCCTGACATCTTGGATGGAAAAGCTGAGAAGGACCTCAAGATGGATGCTACCCATCCATCCTGGAATGAGTGGACCACTTGCCCATCCTTACAACCTTTGGGAATTCTAGATTTGGACAGGGACCTCCAAGGTCATTTCATCCCATCAAGTGCTGTAAGATCTTTGAAAGATAGCTACATGGCTTCTGCTTAAGAACTTCTAGGAAGCCAAAAGCCTAACTTTCATAAATACAATGTTAAGGTTTCTCCTAGAACACATAGGATTAAGCTGCTGTTTAGTAGCAACCCCCAGGTTTATGACCAACCTTTGCTTCTATCCATGAGTTAACCTGCTTTCAGTTTTTAATGCTGTATTTCACCGGTGTGCTTCCACAGCTGCTGGAGTGGATTCAGCGCACCATCCCTTGGCTGGAGAACCGGGTTCCCCAGAAGACCATGCAAGAGATGCAGCAGAAGCTGGAGGACTTCCGTGACTACCGGCGGGTCCACAAGCCTCCCAAGGTGCAGGAGAAGTGCCAGCTGGAGATCAACTTCAACACCTTGCAGACCAAGCTGCGACTCAGCAACCGGCCAGCCTTCATGCCCTCCGAGGGAAGAATGGTTTCGGTGAGTACCTGCCTGTGGAGACAATGAGGGCCATTGGGCTTTCGGTTGCTGGAGGAAGAAGGAAGACAATTTTCCTTTTTGTCTTCAAAGGCACAGAATAGCCCCAGCCAGGCTGAGTGGTGGACCATAAAGCCACTTGTTGAAAGTTCCCTTTGACCACATTGGGTGGCCTGGTACAAGAAGAAGCCTCCCTACCTCCCCCAGCCCCAGCCCCAGCCCTAGCCTGCCCTTTGGGCACCATACCAGCCTAGTCTTCAAGGCCTCTTGGACTTCCCAGCCAACGGGGAGCTCAGGCACAAAGGTGGCACTCACCCATCTCCTCAGGACTATTGTAAAGATTCCCAAGATGGTGCTGAGTATTTCTAAAGGTGTTTGCGTGCTTACTCCATGTAACTAACCCTGAATCTAAGAGAAAATTTCTACTTCTTAGGAAAGCTGCTGTCTCCAACCTGCAGCCTGTTATGTCTCTCTCTGGGTGGGCAGAGTTAGGGAGAAGCTTGGTGGGGCCAGGTGTGGACTAGATAGGCTTCCTTGCATAGATGTGTGGAGGCCAGATTGTAGTCTGCGTGGAGAACAGAAGCTGTGAAGTCTCCTCTGTGGTTTCACTTTCCTACCCCACCCTGTCCCACACGCCAACCATTTCCTCATCAGGCACACAAATGGGTGTGTAGGCACCTTCAGGGTAATAACAATGATTAAAAAACAATAGAAAATGTTACCGTTTTTAAAACGTGCTGTTTGCTGATTGGGTAGGCACGAACCCGTGATTCTCAGTCTATACTTACAGAGAGTCATCTGCTACTGAGATGGTATACAATTTTTGTTGGCACAAACCCGCTCCAGGTATAAGACATTTTGGAGTCACCTTTGAAAACTGCTGGACCACCCACTGAATGGTCAGGTTGATGTGGTCCAGAGGAGAAACGGATTCCAGAAAAGGTCTTGTCTAGAGCAGTGTTGCATAACCCTAGTAGACTACAATCCCTATCATCCACAGACAAAGCAGCCAATAGCATGTGGGCATGGAATAAAGAGAGCTACCGTCCTAACACAGTTGGAAGATTGCAGGTTGAAGATAAGGCTGGAGTCAACCATAGAAGCAAGATATTTGCCTTCTTAAAACACTTAGGTCGACCTTAAGCGTGGCGTCTTTAAGCAAGCAGGATGGGCCACCTGATTGAATCCTCAAAATGGGGAAACACGTAAACCATCTTCTGTGCCTCGCTTAAGTGTTTGGGGTTTTTGTGTTCTGTTTTGCTTGCTCCACCCTGCCCTGCCCCAAATCCTCCCCAGGACATCAACAACGGATGGCAGCGCTTGGAACAGGCAGAGAAGGGTTTTGAAGAATGGCAGCTGAACGAAATCCGAAGGCTGGAAAGGTTGGATCACTTAGCTTTGAAGTTCAGGCAGAAGGCGTCCATCCACGAGGCCTGGACCGAAGGTGAGGCAACTGGAGATGGGAAAGGCCCAGAGGCTGACTTTGGCCAAGACTGCCCCAATGACCACTTGTTCATCACCTGCTGCTTGAGTTCCTTTGTTCGCTGCCTGCAGCGAGATTTGAACCTGGGGCTCTCACAAGCAGAACGTACAAACGTGGGCCTTGTTTCTACTGTTCTCCAGCAATCTGGCCCGCCCTTTCACCGCTTGGATAGGTCAACCCAGGAATAGGAGTTTTTGCAATAGAGCATGGGGTCTTCCCCTTATGGGGCCATGGATTCTTTTGGAGAAACTGATGGACCCCTTCTCAGAAAAACACAGGAAAAGGCAGAAAATAAAATATATAGATATGGGTTGTAGTACAAAGGAAACCAGTTGGGTTCAAAGAAGAAGTTAAAAATAACAAACGTATCATAGGCTAATACCTGTGCTTATTAATCCAGATAATAAGTTTAGATAGTGAGAGAAGTTAGCAAACTTTTTTGAAGTCTAGAGGCTATCAGTTTATTTATTTATTTAAATTTATTGGCCGCCCAACTCCTGACAGACTTGCTTCGTTATTACTTAATTGCTTCTCTTTGTTATTCAGTGAAAAGCTATATTTCAGTTGGAGGTTAGTGAAAATCAAGTGGTCATTTTTTCCCCCATCCAAGTTCACAGCCCCCCTAAAATCTATCCACAGACCCCCCCAAGGGATATGTGGACCCCAGCTTAAGAACCCCAGTGATAGAGGATAATGTTTTTACACAGTATCGTCCTCTTTGTCTGCCACGGCCTGCTAAAAGCATCAGTGGGGAGTCGAAGCTGTGCTGGCCACCTTCTTCAGAGCTGGGAGGGCCCACAGTGTCTTTGGGCTGTGTTGGCGGCTGCATATGTCAGAGACGCACATCTTCTTTCGTGCCGAAGATGGGGCTTCTCCAAAACGTCCATACGTCTTGTTTCAAGTTTCCCTCTGCCCATCTTAGGTCATGGAGCTAGTGCCAAGCCTACCAAAATGGCAGCTGCGTGTCTCATTCTGTAAAAATATCCCATGATCTCTGCCCCCTCCCCTCCAAGGAAGTGTGGTTCTCAGAAGAATGCGGTGAGGGAGGCATTATTTAGTCTTTGTACGGGTGTGAAATTTAGTGGGTGTAGCAGGTGGACCCATAACGGTTGCCTTGCCTGGAGTCAGGCTGATGAAACAGCAGCTGTTCCCCCAGCCCTGGCATTTGCACTGCACTGCCCAGCACCGGTCACTCCGAGGCAGGAAGATGCTGTGGTTCGGCTCTGAGCATCTGCCACAACCCAGCCTCCAGATCCAAAGAGTTGGGTGCTTTGTCCATGCTTTGTCCGCGTTAGAGGAGGCATCTTGGCATTCTAATCTTGTTGAATTCCGAAGCTGACGGGCTTCAGCTTTTCAGGCTTTCCTCTTCAGCTAGATCCCCAAGATCCTCCCGTCTTCAGGAGCTCGAGTGAGGCTCCTGAGCCAAGGCATTTTATGGGAGACAGGACTGACCCAGACTCCCAGCCTGTCCACATGAAAGACTCCTGCTCCTGGCTATCTCCTGCTTGGGCAGTCTTCCTCTGACCAATAGAATCCTCTGGGAAAAGGAGGCTTTTGGGGGCACTTTGTATGTCTTCCACAAACTTGAGGAAGTTCTCCCTTCAGGAGTCTGCAGACCCAAGGAAGTCCTTGGCCTGGCAGCCTGTGAGAAGCCACATCACCTCTCGCTGAAGCCAGCAGTGGTGTCAGCGGCCACTCCAGGACCCAGAACATGTTCAAGTTGTTTACCTTCCTTTGTCACCAGCCCTATTCTTAGCACAGCCCAGGGTGGGGTAAACGTTATCAGCCTCTTTGCAGCTTCCTGTTGGACGCTGTCTAGCAAGAAACCGATTTCTTTCTTCTTTAACAACAAGGGAGAGCAGCTCCCCACCTTCCTCCCTCTGTGGCTTCATCCATCAAACTCGGCAGTTGCCATGGAACTTAGAGGGTGTCTTTGAGCAGCTCTGTTGGGGGGGAGAGGGAGGCGGGGGGGGCTCCTTTTGATGCGGGAAGTGCCAACTTTTCAGATCCTGCCTGGGCTGCAGATGAAAGTTGACAGGCGGTTCGGGAAGGGCCCCAGCTCTGCTTTTAATGGCGTCCTTGATTGCACGACAGCCCAGTTTGTGCTTGTATCTGGGTTTTCTTGCACGCGTGGGACCACGTTGATGCATTTTGCAGAGTTAAAATGAGAGGCAGGCAAGCAGTTGCCCAGTTTTGCCACTGCAGATGGCACGGGTTAATGCTCTCTTTAAAGCAGTGTTGTCCAAACTTGGCCACTTTAAGATGAGTGGACTTCAACTCCCAGAATTCCCCAGCCAGCATGGA